CTTCTTTCTGTTAATACGATGCACTTCCATTAAACTGTTGATATACTCTTTGTTCCAACGTGACCACACGTGCTCTTTCGCATTCTTCAATCTCTTATACATCTTGGTCACTCTTTCTTCGTCTACCTCCACATCTTCAAATGTATGTGAATCCTTCCCCCACATGATTATGTTAGGTGTTAGCACTTGCTCCTCCCCACTTTCACTTTCTACATATGTCAATGGCCTGTTATTCAAATGCCTCTCTATGTCCATGATGACTGCTTCCAGTTGTTCAAATTGCAAATGCGTTTTTCCAAGGGTTTTGTACAATGTCTTCTTTAAATCCTTAATTAATCTTTCATACATCGCCCCCCACCAGGGACTTTTCGACAAGTTGAACCTCCAAGTGATGCCTAGAGTTGCCAAATGGTTTTGCAATTTTTCACTTTTTCGTATCAATTTTATCCACTCAGCTGTTGTCTTGAAAACACTTGCGTTGTCAGAGACTATGACCTCTGGTCTCATTTTCCTTGTAATGAACGCATTTAACTTCCTCTGAAATTCTTCAGCAGTTTGTGACCTTGTTACCTCTAAATGAACTGCTCTCATCACAGCACAAGTGAAAATAATCACGTAAACTTTGATCTCTTCTTTGCTTGTACTCCCCCTTCACTTGAGAGGCCCGGCAAAGTCAACACCTGTGTTCTGGAATGGCAGGCTCTGAACTGTACGAAACATTGGGAGCGCAGCTGTTGCTGGTGCTTCAAATGGTTTTGCAGAAAATACTTTGCACACATTGCAATTCCTGATTTCTCTCTTGACCAATGTTCTCATCTTTGGTATCCACCATGTCTCTCTCAGTGCTCCCATTGTATTTGCTACTCCCATATGCATAACTTTCCTGTGTGTGTGTCGAATCAGTTTCTCAGTAAAGAGACTCTTCTCCAAATAGATTGGTTGATACCCTTGAATCCTTCCCTGGCATCGAAGCATACCTGTTTTCTCGTCTCTTATCAATTTCCATCCAGGTGTTTCTTTCATCTCTATAATGTATCTTTGTTCTCTTACTACCCAATGATCTCTTGCACTCATAATTTCCTCTGTGGTCAGAGGTCCTCTTGTTACCTTCTCCTTTCTCTTCTTGGCAAGACAATTTTTGATAAATCTCAAACACCATGATGTGGTTCTAAGTGTTCTCCAATAGCTTTGACGCTCTAAAAGCTTATCCCATTCATCACTCTCTGTCTCGTTTGTGAATAAGATTGCCTCTTTAATTGGTCTTTGTTCTTCCAAGTTTCTTGTTGAACTCTTCGGCACTGGTTGTTCTGGCCATTCTTCTTCATTTAGCAGCCAGTCTGGCCCTTCAAACCACTTCTTTTCTACCATTTTCTCTATGTTCGCACCCCGACTGCCTAGGTCTGCTAAATTTTCACTTGATGGGCAGTATTTCCACTCTATTCCAATTTCATTCCCTATCTCTGTAATCTTTCTCACCCTGTTCGCTACAAATGCTTTCCATTGTTTCCCTGGATTGTTTATCCAAAATAAGGCCACCATACTATCCATCCACACATTGATTGATGTTATTGGCCAATTCTTCAATGCTTTGCAAATGTTCTTGGCCATGTTTGCTGCCATTTGCCCCCCAACCAACTCAAGTCTGGCTATCGAAGTGTTTCTCTTTGAAATTCTTGACTTTGAAGTGAGTAAGCCCTTTACTTTGCTTGATCCTTGTTCCACTACTGCAATTGTCACAGCACAGCATGCCTTTTCACTTGCATCTGCAAATATGTGTAAATTCACTGCATCAACTGCTCTTATTTCTCTTACTAAAGTTCTTGGTATCTTTAATTCTCTCAGCTGTCTCATCCATCTCAAATAATCTTTCATAAGGGGTTCAGAAACTTCAGCATCCCCTCCCCTGTTCTCATCACAGGCCTCCCTGAAGATTCTCTTTCCTTCTACTAGGGTTGGTGAAATGATTCCCAAGGGGTCATAAATTCTGGCTAATTGACTCAATACAGTGTTCTTTGAGACCTTATCCTCTTCCCCTTTGTTTATGGGTACCATCAAAGTATCTTCTTCCTTGTTCCAAACATGCCCCAAAATCTTGCTTGGATTCTCCATATTTTCACTTTCTAGGCTTTCTATGTTGGATTCCCATTTATGAATTTGAAACTTTGCATCCTCTAGTATTTCAGATGCCTCTCCTTTAAATCTTTGAAGCTCTTCAATGCTCATTCCTGTACACATCAGATTGTCTACATATGTATTTTCTCTGAGCATTTCTAGGGTACTGGCTAGCTCTGTGTTAGTAAATTCCTCATAATGGTGCTGCAAGGTTCCCCCCAACAAAAATGGGCTGGCTTCCCCCCCAAAAGGGACCCTTAGAAATCTTAGGTGTTCTTCCTTCCCACTCAGTGTGAATAAGAATCTGAATGCATCTCTATCCTCTGATTTAATTCCAATTTGTAAAAATGCCTTTTGTATGTCTCCTAGCAGCAGATATGGTGTCATTCTTGCTCTGACCATAATGTCCCAAATATTTGGCTGCAACGCAGGTCCCTTGTACATGCAATCATTGATGCTGTTTGTTGTTGGCGTTGGGCGTGCACTAGCATCAAATACCATTCTCACCTTTGTGGTAGCAGCGCTCTCTCTTACAACTGGTTTGTGAGGCATGTAAAATATTCTTGTTCCAGATGGTTCACTTGGAACTCTCTCCACAACTCCCTCTCTTAACTGATTCTCAACAATTTCTGTGTATTCTTTCTGCAGTTTTTCATCATGCCTCAGTTTGCGCTCAACATTTTTCAATCTCTTTCTGCTCTGCATCTCATTTGTTTCTGCCAAATTGCTTCCTGGTATCCATGGAACATTAACTTCATACCTTCCATCATTTTGTCTGGAAATGTTCTCTTTGAACTCTTTGTAAACATCTAATTGGTCATCTTCTCCCCTGTCTTCAACCCCAAGTATGTCAAGGCTGTATAATCTCTCATATTCATTTCCAAGCTCTCTGGTGAACATGCAATTTGTGCTAGAAAATTCTCCTCCATGAATAATCCAACCAAATGATGTGCCTTCTACAATTGGTTCATCATCATTCCCCTTGAAAACTGTCTCTGTTCTCAGTTTGCTGTATGTTTTGTCTCCAATAATCATGTGAATTTTATGTTCCCCTGATGCTGTTATGTAGAATTCTTTGTCTTTGGTGTGTCTAAACTGCTGTTTCAATTTCCTTAAATCTGGCCTTTTGACTGTTGTGAAATCATGCATTTCTACCCGTGCAACCTCAATATGTTCTCTGGCTTTCTTGTCTAATGATTCTATGGTCATCTGAAAGATTGGCATGGCTTTTCTTGCTGTTCCATTGATAGTTGTTACGTCTTTTGTTTCATATCTCTCAGGTTTTGATTTGAGCATCATTAACGCATCCTTAGAAATGAAATTCCTTCCTGAACCTGTGTCAAGGAATGCCCAAATAACCTTTCCATCAATTCTTACAGGCAAAATTGGTGGGAGTGTTTCCTCCACAGAAGGTGTGAATCCTGTTAAAATTGAACCTTTTTCACTTTCACCTTTCTGCTTTTCACATAGGCTGCTGTGGTGTTTAGCCTTACAAAAGTAGCACCCCCTACTTAGACACTTATCCCCCCTGTGTCCTTTTTTCCCACAGTTGAAGCATAGCTTATTTTCTCTGAAGAAGCTCCTCCTACTCTCTATAGTTTCCTGTGTTTTGCACTTATCACTCCAATGATCTTGATCACAATAAATACATTTTCTTGAGTGTTTCTCCTTTGTTTCACCTGTATACCAGTGTTTTTCTCTTTTTTCCACTGGCTTTCCTATTTCCTCTGTTTTGTTTCTTTTCAACCACTTCTGCAAATTATCAATAAGCTTTGACATCCCCCAGCTTTCCCAATCATCATCCAGCCTTACCAAATCAGACTTGACATTTGGCAGCTTGTTTAATGTTGTCATCACAAATCCTCTCAACATGTTTTCTTCATCAAGTGTCAGCAGGGCATCATAATTCTTTGTGAGCTTGTCATAAAATTCTTGAATTTTCTCATAATTTACTCCCTTTATGGTAGGTAGATTCACAATTTCATCAATGTGTGTGTTTATCACAGCATTCCTTTGCCCATATTCCTTTTTGAGCCTTTCCCAGGCAGTTTCAAGCCCAACTTTTCCTGGTTTCAGATTTGCAATTTTATCCCTTACTCTGGGATTCACCATCTCTAACAAATATCCAAATTTAACTTCATCACTAAACCCCTTACTTAAAACTTGACTTGTGAACATGTTTTCAAATCTTATCCAGTCAGCTATTGTGCCTTTAAATGGTGTGACTCTCAGCTCTGGCAGTTTTGAAAAGGTTGCCTTAGCCCCACATTCCATTTCTAGCTTTTTCTCTGCAAGTTTAATTTCAGCATGCATTCTTTCCTCCCATAAAGACTTCTCTTGTAAGTATCTCTCCCTTCTTATTTTCTCTTCATGGTCTGCTAATTGCTTTTGTCTTTCTAGCATTCTCTTATCTTCCCTTAGCTGCTCAATTTGCTTCCTTTCAAATTCCCTTCTCAGACCTTCCTCTCTTGTTTGAGTTTCTATTTGTGTTAAAGCTCTCAACATTTTCTCATTTTGCTCTAACATTCCTGTATATTTATCTTTCACATCCTTTTTCCACTGCCTAACTGACCTAGATGATTCCCCTTGTTCTAATTTCATCTCTTCAATTCTCCCTGTCAAATCAATTATCTTATTGTGGATTACCTTCACCCTATTTGTTGCTATCTCCATTTCTACTGTGTCTCCAATTTCTATGAGCTCATCTGTCTGCTCTGTATAATAATTCAACTTCGCTATTTCCTTCTCGATATCAATCTCTGGGCCTAAATTTTGCCCATCTCCTGTTGCTGTTTCTGTTGATGGATTTGCCATGATTCTCCCGGTATGTGTCCTGGCAGGGTCGCCACGTATGTACGGAAATGTGCCGCACACAAATCGCTAAACTCTAAGATTCGCCATCTTGTCTTGTGCTCTCGAAGATCTAACTAAAAAATAACTGAAACTCGGTCCCAGTTCTCTACTGTCCTAAACTGTCCTAAAATGTCCACTACTAATCAACATAACGAATGATAATAATAAAGTACCGTACAGGATTATATTTTGCGAGTAGTGAGTTGTCAGTTGCGAGTTGCCAGTTGCCAGTTGCGAGTTGGTTTTTCATCATGTCAGTTCATTCTTTTTACATCAAAGTATAACAGTAATACCTCATTATGCGCAAAGAAATTTAGTTAGTAAAAATATTTGTTCTTGGACATTAAAGCATTTTTTTGCAAAAGGATATCCATTGAGCTTCGACAATTCCCTGCTTCAAGAGCTACCACCAGGCCACTTTCCGAGTCCACGCACGCGCCTATTTTTCTCCTAGCGACATTCAAAATGGAGACTGGCTGCGGAAAGGTGAGAAGTTGAAATATTTGTTTAACAACCTAGTTTGCTTTCTATGTAATCTGCTTACAAATAGGAAATGATTAATCAGTTGCGTTAAAGTGTTTTCAAAACACTTTGCAGTTGAATTTTTCAGTACTTTCGAGGGGAACAACTCATTTAAAAAAACATTTTAGCGGGCTCAAATGATGTACGTAAAATTTTGCCATACATTAAAAAATAGATATATCAAAGAATTAGGGAAAAAGTGTAATGACAAGTGTACAATCTAATACAAACATAAAAGTTGAAAATGCAATTTGAAAACTTCCCTCCGTTTTAAATGGCCGGGATGGCATTAAAAGATCAGTGCAATCCTGTTTCCATAATGTTCCCCTATAGGTACCTTTGAATGAAATGTTTTTACACAAAAAAGAAAAACAATATAAATTGCTCAACAGCTGAGAGTAATGCAGAATTTTTATATTGTTCAAAATAGATTACTTGAAAGAGCATATACATAGTTTTCAGTGGAAGAAGTTGATGTAGGTGATCAAATAAAGAGTGTTGCAATTAGGTATCTGGTTTAAAACGTTTTTTGGTGCCATTTGTTTCATAAAAGCACTTGGCAAAATTATATTGAACCTTATGAAGCAAGTCACGAAACAAATCCCATAGCAAACTAACCTGTAGTGTAACTGTACATTGGCACAGCAGATGCTAGTGAAATGAGTTAACATGTGAGTTGATATTTATGCTACATTACAGTATATGATCCAGGAAAGGCTGAGAATACACATCATTTTTGGACATCTGGTGCATGTATGTTTTATTTTTTCCACAGAATACTACTTCTGAGTTTGAAGCATTTTGCTTGAAGTGAGTACTTGAAGTGAGAAGTGAGTATGCAATGTGCTTCTGTTGTCCCAACATTTGCAACTATTCTCTAGTGACATTCTTTGGCTTAACATCAATTACTGAAGCAGCTCATCTTAGAGATTACCAGATGTAAATTTGTAATTTTCAGCAATGAAAATGATGAGTGGATATCTCATCAAATATATTAAATGGGTTGGGTTGACTGAGGCCAAAAAGTTACACATTTTGTCAGAAGAAGATATGATCAGGTCATGAAAAAGTCTCTTGATTCATGATAAAAACTATGCATTTTAGTACTGAAATTTTCTCAATTTCTTGTTCCAGTTTAAAAGCATGAATTATCATGGAGTCAGGGCTGTAGAAGGGGGCATCCAACTTGTGGAGGCCCCACACTTCAAGAGGGCACTCTTCCATTAAGCTCAAAATTGAAGCTTCTTGAAACAAAAAGGGTACTTCTTAATGGTAAAATCGAGGGGGCATCAGTGCTCCCAGTTTGTACCTATATCACTGCATGTAGATTCCAAAGCTTGCAGATGTGCAGGGACGAAAACAAGTTGCTAATTTTGGGGGGGCGTGGAAGTATGAAAATTCCAACTTTAAGTGATAAATTTTTCATTCGACGAGTAGATCTGTTGTACCTACCAAATTGATATTTGTAAATAGCCCGAACACCATAGTTCTATTTTCTTTATAATTACCAAATCTTTACTCAATAATTAGCCTAAAGCATAAAAGCCTAAATCTCTAAAATTTGATTAACATGAAACAAACATTAAACATACTGTAAGAAGTAAAGCAACATTTAAGCAAAACCAGTATTAGATATACTTAATGATTAGTAGTATTCTTTCAGATCAATTGATCAATTTTATCTAAATTGATCAATTAATCAATTGGCGCAGATCAATCTTATCTAAAATACATTTTTCACGATATAGAAGCACCAAGAATTTGGGCCTTTTATTTTCGTTCTTGATCGAAGAAAACTACCTTTAAACTTTTCAGAGGGCCAAATGCCTTTTCGTTCTTTACAATTGAAATGATGATTTGAGAACAAACTTGTGCATATGCCTGATTCGAAAGATGAAATACTCTTCTTTGATCAAATACTTCTACTGCAGTTTTTGCAATGTGTTCTTGCTCCACAGCAGTTTTGTCATAGGAATTTATGATAAGGACTCAAGGACATTAACAAATAACAGGGGGAGTTTAGCATAAACTCGTTTTTTATAAGAAGCGTTGAGAATTTTTAGTACTGAAAGATTCTTAATCTTTTATTGAATTAACTGCTCGTAGTTTCTAAAAACATTCCCACTCTAATATTTTCTGATCAATGCGGGTATTATTATTCCAAACTGTAAGTTTCAAGTTTCTTATCCGTAAGTTCACCTTGCCTGTTCGTAATTTGATTCAACTCCCGTCAGAAAGAAAGAAAAAGAAAACGGGGCAAGTGTGCAATTTGGATCCAGTGGAGACGGGATTCACAATAGAAAACGATTGGATGGGTCAGCATCAGCCTGTGAATTTTAATGTTTAGAATTTTTATATTTAAAATAAAAAAACTTCTTAAAATATAAAATTCACAAGTTTGGTCTTAAGAAAAAAATTCCAAGTCAACCGTTACGTTTTCCAACTGTAACTGGATTTTCCAAACTTTGGGGGGGCGTTACGCCCCCCACGCCCCCCTATTATTTACGTGCCTGCAGATGTGTTGCTTGATACACATACCAAAAAATTTCACAACTAGATCATAACAAACTTTTTGAACTCAAATTCTTTGTATCATAGTTTAGTTGAAAGGCTTAACTATCCTCTGAGATGCTGTATTGTCATTTTGAGAAATGATTACCTTCTGAAAAACCAGATTCAAAGAAAAATCTTGAATCCCAGATTCCTGATTTTTAGTGAAAATGCCATCATATTCCATTCAATACTCTGTGAAAACTCAACATGGCAATTAATTTGAAGTTTTCTGATGGACTTTTCATTTGCAAAATGATTGACAAGACATAATATGCATATCTGAATCCCCTGTAAAGCAAAGCAGGAGTACAAACTTTTCAAGTGAAGCAGGTCCCCGCAAAAATTCTTGTTTTGTCAAATCTGAATACAGTGGGGTCAACATTGAGTTTGATCAGAGTGTACAACAAGAAGAACAGCAAGCAAAAGGAAATGATCCCTTTGCGTTAAATCATGAAACGGATATCATAAATCTTAGTGACAGTGAAAGTGATATATCCTGTTCAGATGAATTGTCCTCAGTGGGAAGTAGTGTTGTTGGTGCTGATGAGTCTGATCTAGAAGAAATTCCAAGGAAAACGACGCTACATTAACCCATTGGTATTTTAAAGGGTTCCTATAGAAGAAGAAAAAACTGTTCCTCAAGGAATTGATGGATTCGCGTTTTTCAACTGCCAACGAATAAAGACTGTTCTTCAAAGATCTGTAAAGATGATTATCGATGAGGAAAATGGATGACAAGTGCCTCATCCCACCACAGAGGCAAAAAATGATTGCAAACTGCAAAGAAAGCACACTTTTATGAACAGCAGATGCGACAACCTGGCAGACTTTGGCATCAACAGACAAGTATTTTCCAGGGAAGGCAAGAAGGTTCTATGCGAAATTTGTGGGTCTGAGGCTGTATACATTGAATGTGATGCTAGACTGATCAGTGAAAAGAATAAAAATGGAAAGACAATAGTAGTAACAACACTATGGCACCACTATGGCACAACACTATGAAACAACACTATGGCACCGACACTTGTAAAGCATCCTTCAGAAGTCGTATGGAAAAGGAAGACATCAAAGACATTGTAGAAAAGGCACCAAAGATTACCAGAGAAACTATGATAAGACAGGGTGTACAAAAGTTTCTTGAAAAAGTAGACCTTGGAAAGGCAAAAGAACTTGCTGTCTTATTTACAGAAAGAAATTATATTCAAAATGTCAAGAGAAATGAGCTGCAGACCATTTGGCCACTGCTTCCAGGCTGTAAAGAAGTTGAAAGAGACAATTGACAAAACAGACAAATATCTTTATATTTCATCTGCATGATGGGGAGGATAGTAAACAACCATTTGTGATTAAATCAAGCTCTTTGAAAGTCGAAATGATTTCCAACATGGACAAAGATGGCACCCATTCATTGTCAAAAGAAAGTTGCTTCTTTGACGTCACTTTCAAACAATGCAAGGGGTGGTCAACATATACATTTTCATACTAAACAGAGAAATTGTTGTGACCAACTAAGCAAGTGCCTAATGCCAAATCTGACTTCAGGTAATGGTTGTATATTGGTAATTGGTTGATTTTCCGAGATGGGCCCAAAAAAGTATCTCCTGGAAGTCACGTGATCGATGACGTCAATAATCGCCTTGAAACGACCATTTAAACGACTATAACTTTTCAAATACTGTGCTTTTGAAAATAAAAAAGGCAAGATTCATCCAGCTCGTCAAGATCTTTCATTTGATATATAAATTTTTCAATTTTGCCTATGTCAGCAATTTTTTGATGACGTCATCATTTTTTTCAATGCGCTTTTACAATTTACAGAGTGCTTAGAGATTAAAAGTGATCGCCATCCAACACTTTGAATTCAAAAGTGTTTGGAGGCAATAACTAACAGGCATTCAGGGGCATTTTTTGTTTCGTTGATATTTTAATTTTTGCACAGTATAATTCAATCCTTTAGCGACACATGATAGTTCAACATGATGAAAGCTAATTCTGTCCTCTTCTTATTTGAATACTTAATAAATTATGACAGTGTTAACATAATTGCAATTTGATGGTGATGGAAAAGACCGGATGTAGGCTGTGTTGAAAATTGATTTTGATGTTTTTATTGTTACTGAAACCTGACCTTCCTATTCCATTTTGATCAGCATTGGCAAACAGAGCTATTGGTTTTCCTACATATGATGTACGACATTTCATGGCACTTTCGAAAGCATTTGTTTCATTACGGAAAAACAATGACGAAAAGTGTTTACTTTGTCAATGTTCGCTAACAAAGAAAAGTAAGTCCACTACATTCAAAGATGGCGGATGGGGAACTTTGAAAGAGCAAGCAGCTCAAAGGTCTGTATTGAACTTGCTTTACAAATGAAAACCGTACCCTTTTACTACCATTTTCAATAACATTAAAGATACAGAAAATGCTTTCGGAAAAGCCCATGTTAGATGCAAAACTTCATTCAGAACAAAAATTGAATAGGCAACATTAAAATATAGATTGCGGAACGAAGATGACGGCACTGAATACAATTCAGGAGAGGATATATTTGCCGATGAAGAAGGTGTTTCAAGGAGAACAGTTCGTGACTACTTGACAGACAAGAAGCTGTGTTTTTTATGCAATAATAAACGCATTTGCGACCAGAACTCGTACAGATAAGGTGGTCTTGGGAGGTGCACAGAGGACAAAGCAGCACAGAGACTATTAAAGCGCAAAGACGAAAACTTGAGAGACAAAGATGGCAATAATTTTGCAGCTGCAAACAGGTTGCAAGTGATAATAAGCGGAGAATGTCACAATATTTTGCTGCTAATGTGTATTACCACAACTCATGCTACCTCAAATTTGTTGTGTACCAAAAATCGTCACAAGTTGAAAATGATCCGATTGGTCAAGAATATGTATCAAAAATCTTAAACGATATTTTTTGTAAAATAAAGATGAAGATAATTCGAGAAAAGAATGGATATCTCTTGAGTGACCTTCTGGAAGATCTAAAAGATATTTGCGAAGATAATGGATCTGAAAACATATTGCCCTATACAAGTACACTTTAAAAGAGGCTAGTAAAAGAATTCCCAGAAGAATTCGGTTTCTACCCGGTAGGAAAATAAAGTTAATTCAACCGACATGAATCCATGTGATTACACTGTTGCCACACTCAAAGGACATGGTCTTCGCAATAACGACCTGATTCGAGCCTTTGCACGAATGATGAAAGGAAAAATTAAAAAATGGAAAGCAGAAGTGAATGAATAGCCTTGTACACCCGAAGAGCTGATCGATAGACTTGATAGAGGGCGACTGAAATAACTCTTATAGTGTCATCTACGCTACTGTTGATAAAAACTTTACGATAAATGAATACAGCTATGCAAAAACGCGCTCCAACCAAATAGCAACAATGAATACAGAAGAAATTGGAGTTGGTTGTATGATAAACTTTCCCCAGAATAGTTAAAGTCTAACAACGAGAATGAAATTAAAAAGATGAAAGCAATACGAAGGTAGAGAGACAGAAAGAGAGCCGCTGACTCTATGAAAATCTGGACCAGGGGCTTCGTGGCAGTTTTTATTGGCCAGAAAAACAAGTTTTTAGGACACATCATTTTCATTGTTTTTTTTGTCATCACTTATAACATATTGGAAACGAGTGTCGCAGAGGCAGCGTGTAAAGCTATCTACTCTCACATTTTTCTAGTTATTCTATTAAATGACGTCCCTGTTGATGATTTGTTCACAATAACCAACAAGCCAAGATCATCATCTCAACTTTTAGCGACAAGCCCAACACTTCCGACACACATAACTTTAATCAAAATCAAATTTCAAAAATGAATAAATTAAAAAAACCTATCTTGCCCATAGAAGTCTTCTCAGTAGAAAAACTTAGTAGGTAGAGTAGTAAATCATTCCATTCTAAATCTAGATGTCAAATTATATCTACATTTCTATGAGTATAAAGCTTTTAATGCATCTAGGTCTTGCAGTTGTGTCTCGCTTTTTTTACTTGTAAAGTTCAAGATAATAGACATGCGCTGGAGTAATAAAGAAAAGACCCAGGGGACCTGAAGAGTGAGAGAGGACTGCCCACACCAGGAGGGCCATCGCAGCCCCGCCACTGGATAGGGTTGACGAGAAAGTACTGCACTTTGTCTCTTCAGGTCCTCTGCACTTTGTGATGCAGCTGCGATGGCTCCTCTGTGTAACTGGTAAAAGAGAGGGGTAGTGCGGGTGAATGACTTGGCCTTGGGTGTTGGCTTGAAAGCACAACCCGATAGCTCAGCGGTAGAGAACTTCACGTAGAAAGTCAAGGGTCGTGTGTTCGAGCCTCGCTCGGGTCGGTTATTTTCCCGCACTCTCTACTAATTATCTTTCAAAACCCTGTTGCCTTTAAACCAATTTAGATCAAACAGGTTGTTTTCATCAAAACAAAAGCGAGTTTTCATGGAACTGAATGGTGAATTTATTAAAAAGAACATAGTACCAACTGCAGACGAAAATAGAAAGTTCTGGAGTAAGATATGGGACAACCCAGTGGAACATAACAAAAACGCAGAATGGCTACGAGAGATTGACTGAATTAAGTAGAATCAACGAACAAGATGATGTAAAAATCACTATCCAGGATATAAGAAAGCAAACGGGAAAATCCCAAATTGGAAAGCAGCTGGACCCGACGGAGTACAAGGCTATTGGCTGAAAAACTTGTCATCATTACACGATAAAATTGCTTGCCAGTTGAATGCAGTAGTCGAAAGTGTAAATGTTACAGCATGGATGAGGTATGGTAGAACGGTATTATGTGTGAAGGACAAGAGTAAGGTAAATGCTGCGAGTAACTTCAGGCCTATTTCATGTTTACCACTAATGTGGAAATTGCCAACGGGTATGCTGTCCGAGCAGCTGTACGAGCATGTAAATTCTAGTGATATGTTACTATTAGTACAGAAGGGCTGTCGTAAAGAGACACGCGGAACGAAAGATCATCTACTGATTGACAGAATGGTACTAAAGAACTGTAAAAGAAGACATACCAACTTAACTATGGCATACGTTGACAATAAACATGCATATGACATGATACCACACTCGTGGATACTAAAGGGTCTGTAGTTGGTTGGGGCAGCTGATAATGTCACGAACGTCCTTGAAAAAAGTATGACGAAATGAAAGGTACAGTTGAACGCAGGGCCGTCGCTAATCACTTTCACTTAGGGGGGTGCCAGTCACAAATTTGCCGATAAAATAGGGCGTAGCCTAAGGTATTTCAATTTTTGGGTGTGGTATTATGAGCGAGGGAAAAAAATTTTGCAACCACGCCCTTAGGATTGTCTTAAAATGCATTTCAGAATATTTCTTGCAGGCATTTCTTGCAATCGTTTAGGCATGCTTCTTCTATGTTTCATTGATTTCATTCTTAAAATGGAGTTCATTACTACTTGAGGCCCCATCAACCTCAAGACCCTGAGTCACTTTGGCCCCTTGCTCCCCTCAGCAGCCCTGCTTACAGTGGCTTCCAGTACTTCCAGGATCAACGTTCAGAATTTAAAAAATTAACTCTGTTCCCAAACTTTAGGTAGAAATTAGGTCGCCCTGGATATTGGACATTAGATTCTAGACTCCGGCTGCCGACAGGGAGTCATTTGACAACTTTGACAATGACTATCAAAGCGCTAATGATGCATATGAGCATCTTACCGGAACGTTTTATAAGCCAGTTGACAAACAATCGCCATTGAAGACTAAGAAACTCAGGGGAAACACTGCCCCATTTATGAATCGTGATCTACGTAAAGCAATTTATACCCGATCTCGGCTTCATCTAAATCTTGCTTCATCATGCTTCATCAAGAATCTAAAGAGGCACCCTTCCATGGCTAATGAAACCAAGTATAAAAAACAGCGAAACCTGTGCGTTTCACTAAGAAAGAAGGCGATCAAAATCACTTGCAAAAATGCAACCAAAAACGGTCTACTTTAAAATCAAGACTTTTGGAATCTTGTCTAACCATTTCTCTCAAATAAAGGGGGGTTACACGATAACGATATTACCCTTGTTAAAGAAGATAGTATCATATTTGAAGTTAAAGAACTTGCCGAAGCTTTTAATCACCATTACATAAATTTCGTAAAAAAATCTTCTGGAAGAAAAACCACCAGTATTGCGAAAAACGCACTTTTTCAAGACGATAGGCATACAGTTAGACTGATTCTACAGGAATACCAAAATCACCCTATTATATTGGCCATCATTCAAAATCGAGAAAATTCATTTGGTTCATTTTCTCTTCATGAAGCTGAACCAGAGGATGTTTTCAAACTCCTGCTTCAATAAATGATAAGAAATCAACCGGTGAAGACAAAATAACCCCTAAACTTGTCCGTCTAGCTGCGAAGGAGCTATCAATTCCGCTAACAAAAGCTATCGATAGATAAACTTTATTTACAGAGGATAAACCTGGTTAGCCTAATAATTAATCTTCACCAGGGTCCTCTCTACTAACTGCGCATTAAAATAAAATAATATTATTTTTTAAAAAAAGCATCCTTTAAGTTTCTAAAAAGCCTAGTAAAAATTTTGTTTAAAGTAAAGTTTAAGTATTTTAATCTGAAACGTCAAGGTAATGCTGATACACTTTTCTCTTGAAAATTCCCAGTGATGTTGACTGTCTAATGTTAAGTGGAAGTTCATTCCATATTTTACTTCCTTTTATTGATATTGACTGATCAACCTTTTTCAGTTTTGATCTGGGCACATACAAGTTTTTGTGTGATGAACTTCTCGTCAATCGCTGTTTAATCTGATTTTGACGAGTAAACAAATCAGTCATATATTTTGGAGCTATTCCATTTAGAGCCTTGTAGACTACTATGACTGTTTTGAAGTTAATTCTTCGTTGATTGCAAGTATGAAAATTCTATAAATACCAGTATAAAAAATTGTAGATTTCCAAACAGCGGGCTGCAGTCACACCTCTTGACAAAGGCGAACCTGTTCGAACAGTAGAAAAAAATTTCCGTCTAGCTAGTGTGCTTAGCAAGATATACGAAAAGATAATAAAATATCGAATTAGTCCTCATCTCGATAAAACCCTGTCCGCTTTCGTTGCTGCCTACATGAAGGCTTACAATAAACAGCATATCTTAATTAAGATGCTTGAAGACTGGAAACTGAAATTGGACAATGATTACATTGTCGGATCAGTACTGATGGATTTATCAAAGGCCTTCGATGGTATTCCGCATGACCTTCTTATTGCAAAACTTCATGCTTATGGTTTTGATGAAAGTTCTCTAGTCCTTATTTTTCCCTATTTAAAAAGGCGCTTACAAGCAGTTCGAATAAATGATACTTACAGTGATTTTCAATCTGTTTTGTCAGGAGTAGCGCAAGGATCAGTCCTTGACCCTATTCTTTTCAATTTCTACATCAATGACCTTTTTTATTTCATTAAAAAGGCTTCTCTTGTGAATTACGCAGATGACAACACTTTAACACATTTTTCAAAAGACCTGCCTCAATCAATTAACGACTTGGAAAAAGAAGCAAGCATCGCCCTTGCCTGGCTCAATCAGAATGAAATGATTGCTAACCCAGAAAAATTTCATGCTCTTCTAGTCAGAATGGATAAAGGTACCATTGGACATAGCATTTCTATTCAAGGGAAAACTATAAATTTTGAAGCTTCAGTAAAGTTGCTTGGCGTAACTATTGATCACAAACTTAATTTTGACATTCACATATCCGAACTTTGTAAAAGGGCAGCAACCCAGCTAAATGTGCTCAAAAGACTTAAATCTTTCATTGGCTTTGATAAGAAAAAGGTATTGGTCCAAAGCTTTGTTTTCTCTAACTTTAACTACTGCCTTTTAGTGTGGTTCTTCTCCTCGGCTAGATCTATGGAGAAGATCGAAAAAGTACAGGAACGAGCCCTACGATTCCTTCACGATGACCATGATTCTTCTTATAGAGATCTGCTTTTCAAATCACAAAAATGCACAATGCATGTAAATCGGCAAAGGAACCTCTGTATTGAAATTTTCAAAACTGTAAAAAGGTTAAATCCTGAATTCATGCAAAATATTTTCGAACAAAGAACCTCTGAACGATCCTCGCGTCGTCCACAAGACTTGCAGCATTACGGGCCCAGCCAAACAACTTTCGGTACAAACAGCCTCAGGTCCCTCGGACCACAAATTTAGAATGGCTTACCACAGATAATAAAATCTGCAGAAAATCTGATTTCAAAAGATTAATTAAAAACTGGGACGGGGCAACCTGTATATGCAACGTATGAAAAACTTAATGACTTTATTGTAAATTTGTATTTAAAAACTATAAAAAATTGTTAATTTTATTTGTATATTTGTAAATAATCGAATTAGACAAGTTACGGTTGTGTAGCTTAAAATTTATATATTCGATTTAAAATAAAATTACAACAACAACAACAAAAATTAAATCACCTATATATTGATGACTTAAAGTTATTTTGACAGAGTGGAAGAGACATAGAATCACTTGTAAATACAGTTCGTAGGTTTAGTCATGACATTGGCATGCAATTCGGTATAGAAAAATGTGGTGTAATTATCATGAAGCATGGAAAGATGGTTACCTGTGATGGAATTGAGCTGCCAGATGGAGAGAAGATAAAAGGCGTCAACGAATAAAGGTTACAAGTACTTGGGTATAGTAGAACTAAATGGGATAAAGAAGACAGAATACAAGCGAAAAATTAAGCTTATATTGAAATCAAACTTGAACAGCAGGAATGCAATTTCAGCAATGAATGTTTGGGCAGTTGCTGTGATGAGATATGGGGCTGGGATAATGAAATGGACAAATAAGGATCTGGAGAAACTAGAAAGACAGACACGGAAAATTATGACAATGAATAGACCGTTACATCCAAAAAGTGACGTCGAAAGATTGTATGTTGCAAGAGGTGGAAGGGGATTGCAAAGTGTATTAGAAACCGTCCGGTCAGAGGAAAATAGCCTTAGATGGTACGTTAAAAACAGGCAAGAGCAGTTATTGAAAGCAGTACATAAACAACAGGAAATGAACAATGACATCATGAAGCCATCCGAGTATAAAGATCAAAGAAGAAGAGAAAGAGAAGTCAAATGACACGAACAAGTAATGCATGGTCAGTTTTTCAGAGATACACATGGGATAATAGACAGGAAGGAGTCGTGGTGGTGGCAAAAGAACGGAGACTTGAAGAAAGGGACAGAAGCACTAATTATGGCGGCACAAGAGCAAGCAATACGTACAAATTACGTCAAACATCATATTGACAAATCAAGAGACTCGCCAACTTGCAGAATGTGTAGTGAGAAGGGGGTGTAATAAGAGAGAAGTAAACTGAGTAAAAACAAAATCTGAGATAAGCACATTTGTGGCTTTATTCAACAAAATTAGTCTCAACTCAAATCAACGTAAACAAGGTAACATACACAAAAGGAACGAACTCAATAGCAAACTCAATAGCACGCATTCTATTGTAGTAAGATAAAGAAAGGTTGAGGTCATTGTCTTTCACAACATTCACCCCTGTCTATAGATCAAGCCTATCCACAGGGCGCCGTTCACGTTGTGACCATCTAAGTGGTACAGGAGACTGTTCTTTAGCATTTGAAGATGACGCAGGTTCAACAAATTTGGTTACATATTCTTTGGTTGGGTCAGCTGATGCATGACTGGGTGATTCTGGCTCACTGACTAGTGATTCTGGCGATTCTGATGGGGTTTCACCTCGAGGCGCAAGAATTTTAGTGGATACTGTTGTCTCTCGTCCATCAGAAAACCGGATATGTGCATAATGCGGATTAACACGAAGAACATCTACCTCATCAACCAGAGGGTCAAATTTGCTATGGCGAACGTTGCGCTTTACATAAACTGAACGGTTTTCAGCCAACCATGGTGGGATAGAACTTCCTGTAGAAGATCGACGCAAAAAACTCAGGAAACGTTCATGAGGTGTCTCATTCGTTGCAGTGCAAAGGAGAGAACGAACGGAGTGCAATACATCAGGAAGGACTAATTGCCAGTGTTCGATTGGAAGATTCTTTGATTTCAGTGACATAGTGATTGCTTTCCAGATGGTACCATTGTACCTCTCTACTTGTCCATTTCAGGTGGGGTTATAAATTGATGTACGACGCAAAGCTACACCTTTGCTTGTAAGGAATTTTCGTAGCTCTTTACTCATGAATGATGATCCACGGTCAGAATGTACATAGGCGGGCATCCCAAAGAGAGAAAACAATTTGGTGAGACACCTTATAACGGTTGCGGCAGATACATCTGTGCAAGGGAAGACAAATGGGAATCTTGAATACTCATCAATGATATTTAGGAAGTACTTGTTCTTGTTGTTTGAGGGCAATGGACCCTTAAAATCAATGTTCATCCTCTCAAATGGTTGGGTAGACTTCATAAGATGAGCTTCCTTTGGTCTGAAGAATTTTGGCTTGCACTCACAACAGATTTGGCAAGAGTTAACTGTTCTCTTTACTTCTTCTAGAGAAAATGGCAAGTTCTTAGTATGGATGAAATGCCAGAATCTTGTCACACCGGGATGAGACAAAGAGTCATGTAGCTTATAGAGAGAATCACTTGTACTTGTGGCACAGTTAGCTCGGGAAAATGTGTCTGGAGGAAAATTCTGTTTACCAGGCCTATATACAATGTCAAAGCTGTAACAACTGAGCTCGATTCTCCAGCGCATTATTTTGTCGCTCTTTATTTTACCCTTAAGACGCTGGTTGAACATGTAGGAAATTGAGTGTGAAATGAGAACCTGTGAGAAAATGTCTCCAGTGTCTTATGGACTCGACAATTGCTTGAGCTTCTTTCTCCACTGCTGAGTGTTTTATTTCACTGCCTTGTAGGGTGCGAGAGAAAAATGCTACTGGTCTACCGCTCTGGTATAGGTAGCTGCTAAAGCGACATCAGAGGCATCAGTCTCCACTTCAAAAGGAATGGTTTCATCTATAGCAGATACCACAGCTTTAGCAATAATTCTTCAAATGCCTTCTCTGCGTCCTGAGACAAGGGAAAACCCTTGTGACTGGTTATGGGCTTTATTCTATCAAAGAAATTTGGAACCCATTGAGAATAATAAGAGAAAAGTCCCAGACACCTATTCAGAGATCTTCAATTTCGTGAGAGAGGTAGCTCTAGCAGAGGCTTTAGCCGGTCTGGATCTGGACAAATTGTACCTTCCTCGATGACATATCCCAGTTATGGAAGACGCCGAGTTGAGAAGACACTCTTGCTTTCATTGAATTGTAGATAAGTCTTCCGAGCAGCTTCCAGGAACAGATCAAGGTTTGTATCATGATCAGCTTGATCTTTTCCGCAGATAGTTATATTGTCAAGATAAGGAAACACTGCTTTTAAATTATTATTTTGAACAAACCTCATCATTTCTCTTTGGAAGCATGCCACGCCGTTAGTTACGCCGAAAGGGAGGCGAGTAAATTGATAAAGCCCATCCTTGGCTTCAAAGGCAGTGTAAAGTTTGTCTTCATCTTTCAAAAGTATCTGGTGGTAGCCACTTTCAAGGTCAATTGTACTGAAGACTCGGTACTGTGCGATTTCGTTGACTATATCATTGATTCTTGGTAACGGAAATGCGTCCAACTGTTTAAATCGATTGATCGTCTGAGAGTAGTCGATGGCTAGACGTTTTCTGTGGTTCTCATCTTTTGTAACTACAACTTGTGCGCGCCATGGAGACTGGCTAGGCTCTATGATGCCTTCTTTACGTAGTCTCTGCACTTCATCGATAATGAATATTAAATCTTCTTTACAGTAGCGTCTGGACTTTGTGGCAATAGCATGGCAATCAGATGTCAGACTTGTAAATGGTGAAGGTGGCTCAATATTTAGCATAGTAAAGCTACAAACGAACAAAGGAGGTTTTGTGCTACCATAGTTGAATGAGACACTGTCATGTTGAGATTGGAAATCGAGTCCCAGAATAAGATCCGAGCATAGTCCTGGCATGACCGACAGACGAAAATCCTTATATGTGTGTCCTTGGTAATTAAGTGTGATGAGGTTGTAGCCATTGAGACTGTGCTAGTTGAAGGACTGACAGATATAGCAGCAACTTGCACTAAGCTTGGGTGTATGTAGCTCTCACTGCTCCCACTATCAAAGAGGGCTTGGACACTCCAGTCACAGTTCACAACCACTGTAGCAGTTGACTTTTGTAGTGTTTCAGGAGCTCCAACAGTAGCCAGGGTAGGTGACCTTAGTGCAGCCGAAACTTGATCGGTCTTTACGGGTTTTCCTCTGCAGACTTTTGCAAAGTGTCCCTTTTTCTGACATTTATAACAGATAGAATCTCGAGCTGGGCACTTGGAACGTTGATGTTTAGCATTCCCACAGAATAAGCACTTTGCATTAGTTGCAGCCAATGTTGGGGCTGTTTGTGTCAAGTCGGTCATGGATGCATGCTGAGTAGTTGTTTCGAAGAATGGAATTGCTGCATTGAATAGCTTAGGAGTTGAATAGCTTTCTGAACTTCCCATCGCTGATTCCAAAGCTCGAGCTTGATCAAACATTGTCTTTAGATCCAGAGTTTTATTTCTAATAGTCTCTGACGAATTTGGTTTGAATTTAAGCCCGTAATGAATGCATCTCGAATGTATTCTTCGCAGTACTTTGCAGCATTGACAGATTGAAAGTTACATTCCTTGCTTAACACTTTGAGAGCCTGTAAATACTCATCTAGAGTTTCGCCAGCCTGCTGCCGTCGAGTTGCAAGTACGTGTCGGACGTAAATTTCGTTAGTTGGTTTTACGTAAATATTTTGAAGCGTTTCGATTGCTAATTCGTAGGTGGTACATTCTTCTATGTATTCATAAACTGTAGGTGATACAAAGTTCGTCAAAACTCCAAACTTGTCAATATCTGCTTCCCCTAACACAGCGAGAAAATTTTCGAAAGTTCGCTTCCAATGAATCCATGATTTCGTAGCTCCCGAGTCGCTTGGATCGGCGTTAAAACGTTCTGGTCGCAGTATTTTATCCATTAAATTTTGTTAAATAAATTGTAATGAGAGAGAAGTAAACTGAGTAAAAACAAAATCTGAGATAAGCACATTTGTGGCTTTATTCAACAAAATTAGTCTCAACTCAAATCAACGTAAACAAGGCAACATGCACAAAAGGAACGAACTCAATAGAAAACGCAATAGCACGCATTCTATTGTAGTAAGATAAAGAAAGGTTGAGGTCATTGTCTTTCACAACAGGGGGAAACTGTGAACCATATCATATGTGAATGTAGCAAATTAGCCCAGAAGGAATATAAGCGACACCACGACAACGTAGCACGGATAGTTCACTGGGAGATTTGCAATAAGTATGACCTACCCAGGGCTGAACAGTGGTACAATCATAAGCCAGAAGGCTTTACTGAGAATGAAAGCATTAAGGTACTGTGGGACTTTAACAAAAACACAGATTCCGAAATTGAGCGTGTCGAGCTAAAATCAGAAGAGTGCATGATCATTGACATAGCCGTGCCAGGAGATACAAGGATAAAACAGAAAGAGCAAAAGAAAATCGAAAAGTATCAAGAACTAAAAAGAGAAATTGCAAGGTTATGGTGCCTTCGAGAAGTAAGGGTCATTCCAGTTGTAGTTGGT